ATCACATTTACCGAACGCGTGTAGTATAGGAATTCTAACCGTAACCCAAATGTGGTTTCACCCCTTAGTGCTATATATGTATACAGTAACCCATGTAACTGGGTTACTCGGACAAGATGATGCACAGCAACCCGGTTAACCTAATTTATAGAATTTCGTTGAAACCAATATCAGGCAAAATGTTCTCTATTAAAATATTGACAATTACAAATTCAATTATAGTTGGTCGCGAGTAATAAGCACATCAAATTTCTGAATCGATATTAATACAAACCGTTAACACCGGGTTCCGGTTAGAATCCTTGATATAATATTGTGTATTTCGTTCGCTTTTTTTCGTCGAGTGGTTCGCCCGTGATTGGGTCATGCCTCGAAAATGAAATTCGTTTCTTTACCCTCCATTCAAGGCGCGTCACGGATCCGATTTTTCGCCCTGGAACGAGGTAATACGTCAAACACGGGAGACAGGAGTCAGGTACAGGGTACGTGTGAACAAAAGAAAATAATAGCAACGCAAAAACAATTGGTATCGTGGTTTATTGCATCGAACACAACGGAATGTCGAGGAGAATGCCGAGGAGGATGCTGGAGCTTAATTAGTGCGTGTCGGGGTACCGAACGTCACGAGCTGTTCCATTTCTGTCTCGCATTTTTTTTCAGAATTCGTTCGCCCGCGGTTGGATCTCAGCAGTCCCTGCCTTCCGCACGACCCTAGTAATGAGAGACAAAAAACACACACACACACACAGACAGAGGAGGACAGGAAGTTAGCTGCCGAACACCCTAGGCTAATCTCTCATAACTGGAGTGGCTCATTTGCGGCGAGAGTCGCGAATGCTCATCGAGGAGAAAAGAGACTGAAAAAATAAGGGACAAGTGTAGAGCAATGCGCGTACGAGAGGAGGACAGCCAGAAAATGAGAGGGAAAGAATGAAAGCGGTGATAAAGCTGTAAAGGGGGTTGAGTTAAGGTAATTGGCACCGAGCCCTGTTTCCCGTGTTAGTTACTGCGAAACATTGCGCGTGAAGAGGATTTCCGAGTTTTTTTTAATACCCTGAAAACGGACGGACCACCTTTTCAAGAGTAACAAAGCCGTAGCCAGAACGTATTTACAAGTAAATCTACCGATCCGCATCGAAGCAGAAAAGCCTCGCTTCGACAAATGGCTTTATTCGATGCATCGATTTTTATATACATCTTAAAAACCAGCACGGTTCCGAACGATAGGCAAATAATACGTATTCCTCGTAAAATTGAAACGAACCATGTAAATGAGTTTAATAAATACTTCATTGAGAAAGAAAATTTGATATTATTATTCCCTTTATCACTATCCCTCCGTAGCTTCCTTTCCGAAACTGTGTTCGCAATTAACATTAAATATATTAAAGCGTTGAATTCGAGAAGCGTACCGGCATAATGAAAGCTAGCATAACGCCTGATGGGCTGCAAACCTTGTTACAACAGTGTACGCCGCGATCGCTAGGCAAACTGTTCATTTCAGGAGACTATTTGGTAGTTAATTTACTCCCTGTGATGTTTGGAACACTCTGAAATAAGCACGACCACGGATAAGCATTTCCCCCGAAGAATGAAAAATTCAAGCGTACAGAGAACATTCTTTTGCACGGCACAAAGGGAAATAAAACGAAGTCGAACGCTGGATTTTATCAACTTAATTAAAATACCAGACCCTGCTTTCCCGTGTACGTGCAGAACATTCTGCGCTTCGAAATATGAAATATCGCGGCGAGTATCTCGCGCAATAAATTACTTTATTGTTTCATTTTCTGCTATTCGTCGATGCTGTTTAGATAAGGCAATCCCTCCCCGATAAAACGTCACGATTTGCGTATTTCTCGTGAACGTTATTATGGAAATATTTGACGTCTCGGACGACGCGTTCGAATTCGTCCACGGTGCAGCGCATAAATCTCCGCGAAGGCGATTTCATCTGAATTCGACGATGCCCAACGCAGCAATCCGATCTGCACGCGCGATCGACAATTCCCGCGGGAGCACACGTCCGCAAATCACGGGCGAGATTTCGTTTGGCCCCTGTATTTTGCCAGCAGCGAGCCGTCGACGGACTCCTTCCGTCGGACAAGGAAATTATTAGAGATCCACGTGGCGAGATTTCCCGAAAGAGTTTCGCGAGAGCACGGACGCGGGCTGCAGGAAATATCAGCATAACACAACGAATTCGATTCAATTTCCCCTTTTCCGCGAATAATACAACGGAATATATCGGCCCGAGCAATCGCAGGATTAGCTTCGCGATCGAGAAAAATGAAACGTGCATATTTTTATAATATTACTAAATTATCATTTACGCAGGGGCGATCCTGTGGTGTATTTTAACGGGGTATAACTTTTGATTAAACCGCGCGCGTATTTAAAATATACAGAATATTTCGTGAAATGCAAACACATCCAAAAAGGATAAAAAAAATATCAAATAAACATTCGCGCGCGATCTTGTTTCTCCGGCCGGCTCGCGAAAAGTTAATCAGACATTTTTGTCACGTACTGTCGTACACCGCTATCAAAACAAGAAAGTCGAATAATTCACAGAATATTTTTATTCCGCTTTTTTTGTATGCAGAATTTGTTCTTGACACATGTTCAGATTTTACGAAATATTCCGTGAACGATGCTCCTTTTTTCGCTCCGCGGCGGAATATCATGAATTTCGTAAAAGACATGTTCGCCCTAATAGAGCTGGAGATACGCAAGAAAGAAGGTAGCAAAAAGGATGCTTGACTGAAGGGTTTGGTTTAAGAGAGTTTTCGCGAGAAGAAAGAATCTCGACGCAAAATTGTTCGCCGTGAACAAAGAAAGGGGAAGAGCGATCTGCCTCGTATCGCTACAAAGGGAACAAAACCTTCGAATGGATGGCGCGGTGGGTGACGTATTGTGGATATTCGAAACAAGAAGATGGAACATGAAACAGAACCTCTCCAGGGAGGACACTATTGGGAAACGCTATAGTTCGAGTGTCTATGGCAAGCACCATCGACCGAAACCCGATTCTTCGAGACGCCCTCGAACGATATGAAGACCTCGAATATTGAAATTCGTACGGCGTCATCCCTGTGAATATATACCTTTATCGAATCACCTTTAAACTTCTTCGCGTAAAAAAAATAGTTTCTCTACATAAAATAGAGGCAAATCAATACTTGGTACGATCATGAACTGAACAAACACTTGGCTAAGTAAAGAAGAGTGGAACCAGTGTATTCGACTGGTATAAAACTTTTCAACAAATCGATTAATTGTAGCTGAATTAGCGCCAACGTCAACCATAGCAGTGGCACAGATAAATGTATCGTCACGATTAATTATTCGATAGCCACGAATCCGTAACGAGAGAACCGTTTAGTCGTCTGCTCGCTCCAGTCTTCTTTCCGGGATAAAACTCGGCGAAACATTACGAAAATGGAGGACTGGTCGAACTTCTTAACAAAGACTTCCACGGATAGGGAGTCTATAGCGGTATCAAGGTTTAACGAATCTTTTTAAATTCACGGCGCGCGTTCCCTAACCACTTGGTCTCTCGCAGTTTTCTTCAGTTTCCTTACTCCAGCTCTTCACCCACACCATCGTCTCTCTGCTATCGTAGAACGAGTCTGTATTGGCGTATCAGCGTGGGACAGAGCCCTAAGGCGAGAGTAAACCCGATTAGACGGTACACTAAATCTCATTCAACCGGCCTTCATTGTTAAGTGCCTCCACCGTCTTTCGTTCCTCGTAAAAACCGTTCCACGAGCGTTCTGAATTACCAAGCGATACTTCGTCCCGCGGAAATGTCCTTGTAGTTTTCCTTGTTCGACAAAATTTTTATGGCCCGCTGCGAAACGACGACAAACTCGCGATTAATCCATGATTTTCAGCGACGAGAATTGGAGTGCACGATCTCGAATAGTAACAAATTGGTTCAATCGGTAGTCTTCCTCCAGGTAGCTCTGTATCATTGAATTATTATTTAACGTGAAACGTATTTTTAAATTTCGTTTTATAAAATCGCCTCCAGAAAGGATTACTTTCGGTAGCCAAACACTCTGTGCAAATAGAAGGGTTAATTCCAGAGACAGGAGGTCGCATCGATTAATGCGTAAAAGGCATTACGAGGCAGACTCCGCGGACTGGTAAATATTTTCACAGGCGTTGGTGCAGCGCCGACTAATCGCTAGTGCTTAACGAGGAACGTTGCAACCTTGATGCACCGGTCGTTGCAGCCATCGCGTCATTAAACCGCAACGCCCTTAATAACGAAGAGATACAGTGCGCGTTCTAACCGCGTAACCAGATGGTAAGAACTCGAATCGCATGCATCACTGTCGCGCAAATTGCTTTTGCTCCCCCGCGCACTCTTTCTCTTCCGCCTTAAGTTCCCTCTGGTTTGATCATTTCTACGTAACTCGTGCCAATACCGTCGGGAACGATTCGCGATACACCGGGAACAATTCCCTTCGTCGAGACTGCATTCTCGACTCGCCTCTCGTTCCTCGACGATTCGATAAACAACGAAAATTATCAGGAATAATAGAAATACGTACAGTTACAAAAACACAAACACATGCAACACTACAAGCAACGTTGGATCTCCAAGTTAACATTCGCTACATAATATTGTTAACGCGTCGAGTGCTATGGTGGTCATAGATGATCTCTGAATAGAATATATTTATGAATCTCACTAAACTGTAAAGTTCAGAACGCTTTCTGTATTTACACAATGATAATATTTGAAAAGGCCCATCGATTACGTTTATGTCTTCGTCAAGACGCGAGAAGCGTTCAACGCGTTAACAATGATGTAACGATAAATCATTCGACAAATTGAGACAAGAACATGACAGACGTAAGATTGATGCCGTAGCGAGGCGGAGTGATATAATTAAAGCGCATGATGTCGGAAAAGAGGAAAGAAGAAAGTAATCGTGCTTAGAACGAAAGCAAAGCAATGTCGGCAAACTTAAGCTGTGAATGCTCACCTGGTCACCGTCGTGTCCTTGCCAGCTGTCGTGACTCTGCAACAGGGAAAACAATGTGAGAACAAGCTACGAGACCCGGCCGGAGAACAATATGAAAGTAGGTATTAAAAAATTCATCGGAGTAATTAGTCTCTGCCTCCTTTCGCGTTTAAAAACGGAGCGGAGTTCCTTGCTCTTTGTACCGGGGGCAGGGGTTCATCGGGTAATTGTCTTGCTTGAAAAATGCACAAGCACGCTCGAATTTACACTTGTACTTTGAGATCTCGTTATCTCATAATCCGGATAATGGACGTCCCTCGGGTGAATCTAAATCTTCGGGATCTTTGGAACCCGCGTCGCGTCAAAGTTCCGCGATCCGTCAAAAAAACTGTCCCGAAGCGTATTTTATTCGCGAGCCGGACAAAGAACCGGCGAATCCACCTGCGAAACGACCATATCGTCATCCAATTTTCCACTCCACTATCTCGTCTACGCAACGCCGAGATTTATACCTCGAAATTTCGTCTATGACCATTCGGCGTGATTGCGCGTATGAAAAGCCGTGAAAAATGGGACGCGGTATCGTCGACGAGTAAATTTCGATCGGAAGCCATCGCGCTATTGTTATTCCAGTGAAAATAAATTGTGGCCGTCCGAAACTATGGAATAAATTCAATCGGATCGTGCTTCGATCTTCGAGGGATTATTTGGGACATTTAGGATCACGCTTCCGGGGGCTCGGATAGCGAGAGTTTCGAAGTGATCATTACTTTCTCGTTAATTATACCGTTTAAAAATGTAAATTTATCGACTGCAAAGCAAAAAAAAACACTGGGAATTAATAGCGCGAACGACCCCCGCGCGTAAGTGATTTATACGTTAAAAAGAGCAACGGCGCGTCGTAGATCCATTAATAATATGCCGAAGGAACTTATTAGCGGCTCGAGAGATCACCACGAGATTGTAAACAGCTTTAACGGCTCTGTTACTTGAATTATCCGCCTGATAACGGGCCACTCCTCTTTTTCAGATAAACGCGTGACTTCGCCCGGAAGGTCGTAACTCCGTTACGGTTCATTAAATCGGTGTAAATAATATCACGGACTGTATAGACAACCGTTTTATCGGGCGCGGAGGTAGACCAGTGTCGGAAGTATAGGCAGCGGTCGCTGGGTTAATGTTCAACCGCCTTGCTAGATTTATGGCAGCAATATAGGTGTCACGGAGCACGTTGTGCTTTGCACCCGGGCCGCTGCAAGCTGATTCCACGTAACATTCGTCACAACGCACATTCAATATCCGCGAGAAATGAAAGTGGCGTTCCCCGTTTCTTTAGCGAGCCTTCGTCCGATACAAATTCTGCGTTTCCAGCCGATTTACCCCAAGACCACGATCCATTTCATCACAGGTCAATTTTTAGAACTCGTCGATTATTTTCAGCATCGTTTGATTAATGTATTTTAAATAATATTGTCTGAGAAACGTTCAGGTCTGATAAATTGTGCAATCCGGAATTTTCTCGCCGTGGCAATTTGCATCGAGAAGAACGGAAGCAAAGCTCATAGCGTGTAAGCCGACGATAGCGTATCGCATCTTAACATGGAGGGTGTAGCGAGCAGCAGATACGACGAGGAAATTATTCCCATGATGAGGGCTGATACCTCTCGACCAGTTACTATCAAATTCCCATTACGAGGCGGAAGCAGTGCCTCGAGCGAATTCGATGGAGCAGTCGGATAATACCGATATCAATTTCACGTCGCAGAGGAAAAACAGACGTCGTATAAACTCGTCCGTGTTTTCTCCAGACATGGAGCTCGTAGAGTTAGGCGAACCTCCCTGATAAAAGTGAACACGATGATCTTTAACAGGCCCCCCAACCCCTCCCCTTTCGTTATTTATAGTCGGCCAGAAAATTATTTCCACGTTGATATAATTTTAATATTCGCGTTCGGCGGTTAAACGCGGCGCATAGAAGGAATCTTTTTATTATCTGGATTAATTAATATCACTGATATTTTGATACTTGCGTCGACCACACGTTGCATAATTCTCCCTGTTGCAGTTAAATCGCGAAACTAGAATCCGTTTCAAATAGCAAAACCGAATGAAGCTGGGACAAAAGGGAAGAAAATTGCGGCGCTGTTGGTAGCACGGGTCCGACAAAGGAAGATTTAATCGTTTAATGAAGTTAAACACTGCGTAAAAGTCGAGTAAAAGGGCAAAGTGCAGGCAGACGGAGACGAGGTAGAAAATGAAACCCCGGGTATCATGGTATTATTGTTTGCAGACATTGCAAGCCAGGAACGTTTAACTGAACATCGGTTCGCCGCTTTACTACCCGTTCGTTTACGTTGTCGCGAGCGTTTCTCCGCTGATTTTCAAAAGCAACGTTTACCTTTCCCCCCTTGCGATAACCACGTTTCTGCATAAAAAAAACAAACGCGAAACTTACGACGATACATTTGCACGGCGAAGTTGCACCGCGATAAGGTTTAACGCGATTAATAAATTTCGTTAACCGACGCTTCTTTGAATATGTTTTTAATCATTGTGTTTTCAGCAGATGGGTTTACAAAGACGACCCTCTCCGGGCTGAACTTAATTGCAAAGTTTCTGCCCGAGCAAATTGGTACATTCGTAACTTTCGACAGCCACGGGGATGATACCTAAACCAACAACACTCGGAACTTTTCTCGTTTGCGATCAACTTTGCCCGCAGAGTGTTTTACTTTAATTGCAAAGATCTCATTTACATTGTGCTTTATCCGTATCCGCGGCTACGTGGTCCGGAAGCGCTGAATTATACTGCTTCCGTTTAATTTATTCCGATCAAGGACTAATCGAAAAATTACCAATATCTTTTTTTTTACACAAAGTAAACGTGCCTTTGTTTGCTGGGACTAAAGAACAATGTTATTTTGTTATTTCAAATTAATAGAATTTTTTAAGGTTTGAGATATCAGTGGAGCACGATATGATGGACTGTTCTTTACGTTCTGGATTAAACGATCTCGACTTCCATTTAACTAATTTTATGTTTGGCGATAAAAGAGTGTCAGATCTTAAATTGGAATGTAAAATTGCAAGGATTCGATGCTTATCCGAGGCAGTAAAAATATAGACAGACCGTGGATGCCCATTTTTCATTATCGAAGGTACGACTTCCCTTCTTCTTTATGGAACATATAACGATTTCGAGTGGAGGTAGCGGATACGAAGCGTCGTCGTTGGAAGTTATAAAAAAAGCACTTACTTCCTAACGACTTCCCTTTTTACATTTTATTCGCGACCCGTCCCATGCCAACGCTGTTCACCGTTTTAATTTCGAGCTTATGATCTCGTATGTACGAAGTGTTAGAACCATTTCGACTAACATTGTTCGTGAGAGGAGAGAAGAGGAAAATGTAAGAAGTTGTAGCAGAGGAAGGAGCGGAGTAAGAACAGGTTGGGTAGCTAAGATAGGAAGTACGAATACGTAGATTAAATGGAAATGGAAAACGGAGAGAGCGAGAAAGGAGGTGATAATGCATATCAGAGTCTTCCAAAGTGGGCTGTTTTGTGAAATAATATTCCATTTCCTTTATTTTCTCGATTATTTTCAACTATTGATCTATCGTTGGTATAAAATTCCGTCCACCTCCGACTGTGCCTATAAAGATTTTGTAATGGAGAAATCACATTGCGCGCGAGGTTCGTCGCCGAGAAAAAATCGAGAAGATTTATCGCCGATAAAACGAACGATGACTATGCCCGGAGGACAGAATACGAAGCACAGGGAAAGGGATGAAATTCACTAAGGGATGGGAGAGGATATGCGTTTCCCAAGGTAGCTAAACTTACGAGGCACTTCGCTAAGTTCTAAGACCACAATTTAACGGCTAAGGGGATTAGATCGACGACGTACGAGCCGCCAAAGGGCCAGCGTATTAAATCGACCGACGGAGGGTTGTTTCTGTTACTATTCACAACCGCCAACCCCGCGAGAGATAAAAACAGACATCCTTATTGTCACCGAGAGTCGAGCATTTTATGGAGCAATTACAAGATTAAATATTTTTTGTCCGTTGTTGAGCAATAGATCTCCATTAACACCTGTGACGCGACAATCGTTTAAATTTTGAAAAGCTAGCTTCTAATAATTATCTAACGCGCGAGATCGTGTTAATTATTTCTCGTTCGTTTACCCGTTACGTTCCCAGGAGTATTTTCAATTCACTAATCCGGTTATTTACACGGCGACGCAATAATTTCGAAGGCGTCCCGGCCCCCGCGGTACATAGAGCTTACGACGGGGCATAAATTTTGTCGCGCCATTAAATACCATCTAGCTTCCAAGCCCAGGGACAAAGTTGCCGACTTGATCTGAGACCGTTTCATCCCGGTGGATGTACCCTACACTGGTCGTAACAAATAAGGAGTTCGTGTAGGATAGTCTCTTAGCATTCGGGAATTCTGCCTTATCTCGTAAAGCCAGACTTACATGGTATCCCATGGCAGCCCAACTATTCTCCAGCGTCTTGCAGTCCTCGACACATTAAAACGGAACGTTCCCTGGTGTATTCGAAATTTTTGGCGTCTAATGGGACGACACGCGACACGAAATTTTCATTCCAGCGTTATTAGGATTTTCGATACAATCGTTAATAATATTTTCTTAGAATTAAGAAGAAAGCTAGCGATAGTTCGATCATTGGGTATCGGCGATACCGTGGTTTACAGTCTTATTTATTGCGCCGCGATCGCCTCGCAAACAAAAGAGAAGTTTATCGAGCAAAGAACGGAGGTCCGATTGTTTCGTTCCGTATTGAAATTCCCACAATTCACCACCCCGATACACGCCCCCGTTCGAAAATCAACAGCATCGACGGGAGCGTTCCTAACAAGCCCGAGGGGAGGAGGGGCCGCATAGATTTTACTTTGGTTAAACGCCAGCCAACAATCTAACTGCAGGGGTAGCAAAGCAATTAAAACAACTAAACTTGCACCGGTCCGCGAAAGCAAACCGTTATAACCGCAACTCCGACAGTGGTTGTCGCGGCTGCAAAACGACCTGG